CAGACTGAAAGCCAAAACCAAGGTTCCAACAACATCTGTTATAGAACTCCAGTATGCTGATGACAATGTTGTCCATGCGCATTCAGAAGAAGATCTACAAGCCACTCTAAACACCTTCGCAAAAGCTTGGCCTGTCATTGAACATCGAGAAAACCAAAGTGCTGTTTCAGCAGTCACCAGCCAATCCCTTTCCAATGCCAGTGATACAGCTTAATGGTGTAACATTAGAAAATGTTGATCATTTCCACTCCCTTGGCAGCCACCTCTCCACCAAAGTCAACATCGACACCGAAATACAACACCGCCACTAGCTCTGCGAGTGCAGCATTTTTCCGAATGAAGCAGAGAGTGTTTGAGGACCGGGACATCCGTAGGGATACCAAGGTGCTTGTTTATAAAACTATTGTCCTCCCAATCCTGCTGTATGCCTGCGAAACGTGGACTGTCTACAGACATCACATGCAACTCCTGGAACGATTCCATCAGCGCTGCCTCCGGAAAATCCTGCAAATCTCTTGGGAAAACAGGCGGACAAACGTCAGTGTGCTGGAAGAAGCAAAGACCACCAGCATTGAAGTGATGGTCCTCCGCCATCAACTCCGCTGGACTGGTCATGTCTCCCAAAGCAGTTGCTCTACTCCGAACTCAAGAACGGAAAACGGAATGTTGGTGGACAGGAAAAGAGATTGAAAGATGGGCTCAAAGCCAACCTTAAAAACTCTGGCATAGACACTGAGAACTGGGAAGCCCTGACCCTTGAGCGCTCCAGCTGGAGGTCAGCTGTGACCAGCAGTGCTGCAGAATTTGAAGAGGTACAAATAGAGGGTGAAAGAGAGAAACGTGCCAAGAGGAAGGTGCATCAAGCCAACCCCGACCGAGACCGCCTTCCACCTGGAAACCAATGCCCTTACTGTGGGAGAAGATGCAGATCAAGAATAGGGCTCCACAGCCACCTACGGATCCACAAGAATACTGATCATGGAAGATTATCCTACTCGGCCAACGAGAGATCACCTAAGTAAGTAAGTAAGTAAGGCCCCATGTAAGCCACCCCAAGTCCCCTCGGGGAGATGGAGGTAGGGTAGAAAAATAAAGTTAACTTGTGGACAACAAGTTAAACATGAGCCAACAATGTGATGTGGCGGCAAAAAAGCCAATGGGATTTTGGCCTGCATCAATAGGAGCATAGTGTCTAGATCCAGGGAAGTCATGCTACTTATGCTCTATTCTGCCTTGGTTAGACCACACCTGGAATACTGTGTCCAATTCTGGGCACCGCAATTGAAGAGAGATGTTGACAAGCTGGAATGTGTCCAGAGGAGGGCGACTAAAATGATCAAGCGTCTGGAGAACAAGCCCTATGAGGAGCAGCTTGAGGAGCTGGGAATGTTTAGCCTGAAGAAGAGAAGGCTGAGAGGAAACACGATAGCCATGTATAAATACGTGAGAGGAAGTCACAGGGAGGAGGGAACAAACTTGTTTTCTGCTTCCATGGAGACTAGGACGCAATGGAGCAATGGCTACAAGAGAGGAGATTCCATCTGAACATGAGGAAGAACTTCCTGACTTTGAGAGCCGTTCAGCAGTGGAACTCTCTGCCCCGGAGTGTGGTGAAGGCTCCTTCTTTGGAAGCTTTTAAACAGAGGCAGGATGGCCATCTGTCAGGGGTGCTTTGAATGCAATTTTCCTGCTTCTTCGCAGAATGGGGTTGGACTGGATGGCCCACGAGGTCTCTTCCAACTCTATGATTCAAAAGACTTGAGGAACAGCAGCAATCTTTGGAGGTTCCCAGAGTACAAAATGAATGTAGTTTGGCACCACTTTCCCTGCCATGGTTCAATGGTCTGAAATCCTAGGAGTTGTAGTTTGGTGAGGCACCACACTCCTTTGGCAAAGAAAGCCTTGTAAAACTACATCTCCCAGGATTCTATAAGCGTACCCAACAATGCCTTCACCCATTTCAAAAATGCAGACCTCCGCTATACATACAGCAAATGTTTGAGAGCTTCTTGCTTGCACACTCCATCCATTGAATACATTCAAGACACCCCAAAGGTGCCAAAAGGAGGACTGTGGAATCTAAATATAATTTCCCACCAGCTCAGACTCCATCTGTGCGCCTGCGTCTCTATCCAGAAGAGGCAGTTGCCAGCAGATGCAAACAACATTTTAGAAGACATTTGTTTTTGTTTTTTATATATATAAGGACCACATTGAACATTATTAGCTTTTTCTCTGGCAGAAGGGGCTCATTGTGATGAATTAATCATCATATTTACTCGTAGCATTGGGAGCCTTTCAACAAGCTTGGCATCACTCATCCAGAGGAGCTGCCTTTGAACTGGGAGATTTCAAAGGGCTTTTCCCCCATTCATCCCACTCTCCGACAAGCATTTTTATTTTTGTCGATCCCGCCAGGTATGGCTTCACTTTTTGACATTTACCTCTCCCAAAATAACTCAATGTCTGGAGAGGAATGAAGCATCCTGTTTGGGTTGTAGACTTAATCCTGAAGACGTAACAAGTTTATTTGGGTGCATCTACATAGTTGAATGAATACAGTTTGATGCCATGACTCCATGCTATAGAATAGGCTTGTGCATTTGGGGCAAACCTTGACCCATTTCCATGTCACGACCTTTGATAGGAACCCCCATCCATTTTTTGGGAGCCTCCCAAATTTGGGAGGGCAGATATCTGTCTTTGCTTTGGGGTGCTGAAAGATCTGTTTTCTATCAGCCCATTATGGGGGGATGGGCTTTCCGGGGCCCCCTCCCTATCAATTTAGGCATTTAAGCTGTTTCTCTAGAGGAGAGGCACAGCAGGCAAGTGTATGCTTTCTCTTCCAGACTTCTTCTTACCTGTTTCTGCTCTAGAGGAGAGGTGCACACTCTAAGGATGCTTCTTACCTGTTTCTACTCTAGAGGAGAGGCACTCAGTTGTAGGCAGGTGTGCACTTTAAGGAGGCTTCTTCTTACCTGTTTCTACTCTAGAGGAGAGGCACTCAGCTGTAGACAGGTGTGCACTTTAAGGAGGCTTCTTCTTACCTGTTTCTACTCTAGAGGAGAGGTGCTCAGTTGCAGGCAGGTGTGTACTTTAAGGAGGCTTCTTCTTACCTGTTTCTACTCTAGAGGAGAGGTGCTCAGCTGTAGGCAGGTGTGCACTTTAAGGAGGCTTCTTCTTACCTGTTTCTACTCTAGAGGAGAGGCGCTCAGCTGTAGGCAGGTGTGCACTTTAAGGAGGCTTCTTCTTACCTGTTTCTACTCTAGGGGAGAGGCGCTCAGCTTTTTTGCTTTTTTCTTTTGTCGTGTCAGGAGTTGCTCTTGTTGTGAGAAAATTGTCCGTCTGCAAGGATGTTGCCCAGGGGACGCCCGGATGATTTGATGTTTTTATCATCCTTGTGGGAGCCTTCTCTCATGTTCCCGCATGAGGAGCTGGAGCAGATAGAGGGAGCTCATCCACCTCTCCCCGGATTCAAACCTGCAAGCTGTCGGTCTTCAGTCCTGCCAGCACAGGGCTTTAACCCACTGCACCAATGGGGGCTCCGGCACTCAGCTGTAGGCAGGTATGCATTTTAAGGAGGCTTCTTCTTACCTGTTTCTACTCTAGAGGAGAGGCGCTCAGCTGTAGGCAGGCGTGCACTTTGAGGAGGCTTCTTCTTACCTGGTTCTACTCTAGAGGAGAGGTGCTCGGTTGCAGGCAGGTGTGTGTGCTTTTGTTCCAGGCCTGCATGCCACACACACTCTTTCCAAGGCATTTCAAGGAGGCTTCTCACTTCCAGGTAAGAAAGAGCAAGAGGAGAGGTATAGGAGTCCAGCCTGGGATTGTTTCTCAAGCATACGATTATGTTCAGTATCCTTCAGAGCAGGACCCTGCAGAAGTTTCAATGTTTGATTTTAATGAACAGGACTCTCAGGGGTTTGTGAATGCAGAAGATGGCCTAGAAAATACAGCTAGCCAGAGTGAAATAAGGGATTCTGGGATGCCTAGTTCCCAAGACAGAGATGTTTTGAGACAGTCAGATATGAACCAGCTTGAGACTGTAGATAGGAAAAGCGAAAGGAATGTGCTAACAAGCAACCCGGAGGAAGAGGCAATCTTTGATCGTAGAGGGCAGATATGTTAGGATCGCCACCTGGATCGGGGAGTTAGGCGTTCTGCAAGGATAAGAGAAAGAAAGAATTTGAAAGATGCCGTGGATGTAGCATACCTGGATTTCAGTAAGGCCTTCGACAAAGTCCCTCATGACCTTCTGGCAAACAAACTAGTCTAATGTGGGCTAGGCAAAACTACGGTGAGGTGGATCTGTAATTGGTTAAATGGATGAACCCAGAAGGTGATTCTCCCCAATGCTTCCTCTTCATCCTGGAAAGAAGTGACGAGTGGAGTGCCTCAGGGTTCTGTCCTGGGCCCGGTCCTGTTCAACATCTTTATTAATGACTTAGATGAAGGGTTAATTTATTAATGACTTAGATGAAGCCTGACTGCTCATTGGAGGGAAGGATACTAGAAACAAAGTTGAAGTACTTTGGCCACATCATGAGGAGACAGCAAAGCCTAGAGAAGACAATTATGCTGGGGAAAGTGGAAGGCAAAAGGAAGAGGGTCCGACCAAAGGCAAGATGGATGGATGGCATCCTTGAAGTGACTGGACTGACCTTGAAGGAGTTGGGGGTGGTGACGGCCGACAGGGAACTCTGGCGTGGGCTGGTCCATGAGGTCACGAAGAGTCGGAGACGACTGAACGAATGAACAACAACAGATGAAGGGTTAGAAAGCATGATCATCAAGTTTGCAGACGACACCAAATTGGGAGGGATAGCCAATACTCCAGAATAATAAATAGTAAATAAATTTATTAATAAATAAATAATAAATAAATAGTTTTACCCAAAAGCAGAGGAGGAGCCAAGATCAGCTCCTGCTTGCTTTCATGTCAGGCAGGTTTGCGTACCAGGAGGGCCCTTACCGTTACGGGCTCCCAAAGTACCAAAGGTACAGAAAGAAACGGAGGAGACAGAAGAAACTAATTCCACACACAAATCTACTATAGAATCCTGAGAGTTGTAGTTTTACAGAGTTAGTGAATATCTGACCTTTGAACTCGAGTCAAAACAAATATGTACCTGCCCTTTGGAAGGATTGAGCCATAAGTTCCCATTTCACCGTTAGTCGGAAAAAGCGGCTCACCATTTCCCGAAAATGGCAAGCGTCACCTTCTTGCTTGCGGTGTGTCTCCTGGGCTCCGTTTTCCACGCCAAATGTGCAGGTTGGTTCATTTTCAACTTAACAAGAGATTTGTATAAAGGGGTCGATACTTTACAAGCAATTTTAAAAGCCAAAATGCTAGTAGCTTGCAAAGACAATGGAGCTTGGAGAAGTTACTTCTTTTTTTAAAAAAAAATCTTTATTGAGGGTTTTCTTACTAAAAAAAATGCAAAACATTAGGAGAGAGACAAAAAAGAAAAGAAGAGAGAAATATAGCATGTAAAGTAAGAAAAAAAACAGAAAAAAACAAAACAGATACATAGTTAAAAATCAGGAGCAGATTGGTGTGTGTCTTCTTTGTTGACTTCCTGAGTATCTTCCAAGTGCTTTTTTCCCTTCTTTCTTTTATCTTGTCTTTTCTTCTCTCTTGTTTTCTCTTCCTTTTATATTATTACATTTCCATTTTTCTGTTTCAAATAATTTGTCACTTCGGTCCAATCATAGAATCCTAGAGTTGGAATGGGCCATCCCGTCCAAACCCTGCCAAGAAGCAGGAATATTGCATTCAAAGCACCCCTGACAGATGGCCATCTAACCTCTGTTTAAAAACCTCCAAAGAAGGAGCCTCCACCACATTCCAGGGCAGAGAGTTCCATTGCTGAACAGTAGGCATGGTTAGATCCAGTCGGAATCTTCGTAATTCGGAAAAAGTTCGGAAAAATTACCCTTTTGAAGTGATTTTGAACTTTTTTAGGAAACCAGAAGTCCCTTTGCCCTTTCGAAGCTAGTCTCGTCCATTTTTCTTCCAACTAAAGAAGTAAGTTGGACATGATTCTGGTCCCTGGCCTCGGTTCAAGCCAGAGAAGCCAGTTTTAAACCAGAGCAGGAAGGAATTCTCTGGTTTAAAAAAGATTTTTAAACCAGAGAATTCCTCCCACTCCTGGAGTAAAACAACTACTTTATAGAATCATAGAATCAAAGAGTTGGAAGAGACTCATGGGCCATCCAGTCCAACCCCCTGCCAAGAAGCAGGAATATTGCATTCAAATCACCCCTGACAGATGGCAATCCAGCCCCTGTTTAAAAGCTTCCAAAGAAGGAGCCTCCACCACACTCCGGGGCAGAGAGTTCCACTGCTGAACGGCTCTCACAGTCAGGAAGTTCTTCCTCATGTTCAGATGGAATCTCCTCTCTTGTAGTTTGAAGCCATTGTTCCGCGTCCTAGTCTGCAAGGAAGCAGAAAACAAGCTTGCTCCCTCCTCCCTGTGGCTTCCTCTCACATATTTATACATGGCTATCATATCTCCTCTCAGCCTTCTCTTCTTCAGGCTAAACATGCCCAGCTCTTTAAGCCGCTCCTCATAGGGCTTGTTCTCCAGACCCTTGATCATTTTAGTCACCCTCCTCTGGACACATTCCAGCTTGTCAATATCTCTCTTGAATTGTGGTGCCCAGAATTGGATACAATATTCCAGGTGTGGTCTAACCAAAGCAGAATAGAGCATGGGGAGCATGACTTCCCTAGATCTAGACACTGTGCTCCTATTGATGCGGGCCAAAATCCCATTGGCTTTTTTGCCGCCACATCACCTTGTTGGCTCATGTTTAACTTCTTGTCCACGAGGACTCCAAGATCTTTTTCACACGTACTGCTCTCGAGCTAGGCATTGTCCCCCATTCTATATCTTTGCATTTCTTCATTTTGTTAGTTTTGGCCAATCATCTCTCTAATCTGTCAAGATCGTTTTGAATCCTGCTCCTCTCCTCTGGAGTATTGGCTATCCCTCCCAATTTGGTGTCGTCTGCCAACTTGATGATCCTGCCTCCTAACCCTTCATCTAAGTCAATGGCTATCATGTCTCCTCTCAGCCTTCTCTTCTTCAGGCTAAACATGCCCAGCTCCTTAAGCCGCTCCTCATAGGGCTTGTTCTCCAGACCCTTGATCATTTTAGTCGCCCTCCTCTGGACACATTCCAGCTTGTCAACATCTCTCTTGAATTGTGATGCCCAGAATGGGACACAATATTCCAGGTGTGGTCTAACCAAAGCAGAATAGAGGGGTAGCATTACTTCCCTAGATCTCGCCACTATATATCAGTTTCTTTTATTGGGGTCCCTTTGTTTTTTGATATTATGTATGTTAACCTGTCCATATTTTTAATATCTACAATTTTTTTCTATCCAATCACTAATTTCTGAGGTTTCTTCTATTTTCCATAGTTTTGCGTAGCAAATTCTTGCTGCAGTATTCAATAGAAAAAGGAGTTTATCTGTATTTTTTTCCAATTTTGAGAAGTTATTTCTTTTGGCTTACATTTACACTGCAGAAAATGGGGATTTTAGGCCATAAAACTAACTTCTTCAATCTCCACAATGTACTAATCAATCAATAATCTCTATATCCACATTGACTGGGGGATTATGGGCTTTGTAGTCCCTACAAAACATGAGGAGACAGGAAAGCCTAGAGAAGACAATTATGCTGGGGAAAGTGGAAGGCAAAAGGAAGAGGGGCCGACCAAGGGCAAGATGGATGGATGGCATCCTTGAAGTGACTGGACTGACCTTGAGGGAGCTGGGGGTGGTAACGGCCGACAGGGAGCTCTGGCGTAGGCTGGTCCATGAGGTCACGAAGAGTCGGAGACGACTGAACGAATGAACAACAACAACAAGTCCCTACAAATGAGTTGCTTCCCTAAACATGGATATCAAATCTGGCCAAACTTATATTGAACATGAAATCCTAAATATATTTATTTATTTGCGGCATTTATATGCCACCCTTCTCACTCCAAAGGGGACTCAGGGCGGCTTACAAGATATATTTTCATACACTATATTATATTATTAGGATAGTACAATATCAGTATTATATATTACTATATTGCACTATACCATTATATTGTAATACTAGCCATCCCCTGCCACTCATTGCTGTGTCCAATCTGGTGATCTGGAAAATAAAGTAAAGAGAAAGTGTAGGTTTCTAATATATGTAATTTCTTTAAGCTTGTGTTGATGTAGAGATTGTCTGGTTGGCCTACTCTGGAACATGCAATGTATAATTGCCCTTGTTTAGGGGTCCCTTTCCATCTATCATACTCTGTGTGTGTGTGTGTGTGTGTGTGTGTGTGTGTGAATCATATCTATCTATCAATATCTATGGCTGAATGGCTCTTTGTCAGGAGGGCTTTGATTATGTTTTCTTGCCCTGGTGGAGGGAGTTGGACTGGATGGCCTTGAGTATTTTCTCTTGGTCATGGGGGTTCTGTGTGGGAAGTGTGCCCCAATTCTGTCATTCGTGGGGTTCAGAATGCTCTTTGATTGTAGGTTAACTATAAATCCCAGCAACTACAACTCCCAAATGTCAAGGTCTATTTCCCCCAAACTCCATCTGTATTCATATTTGGGCATATTGAGTATTCGTGTAGAGTTTGGTCCAGATCCATCATTGTTTGAGTCCACAGTGCTCTCTGGATGTAGGTGAACTACAACTCCCAAACTCAAGGTCAATGACCACCAAACCTGTGTGCCAAGTTTGGTTCTATTCCATCGTTGATGGTGTTCAGAATACTCTTTGATTGTAGGTGAACTATAAATCCCGGCAAGTACAACTCCCAAATGACAAAATCATAATTTTTTGAGTGATGGTCATTCCTTGTGTTGTGAGATGTTTTGTTGCCAAATTTGGTGTGATTTCCTTCATTGGTTCTTTTGTTTTTAAGGTACTCATTATGCACAGAACATTTATATTTATATAGATTAGGATAGTACAATATCAGTATTATATATTACTATATTGCACTATACCATGATATTGTAATACTAGCCGTCCCCTGCCACGTGTGTATGTGTGCGCGTGTGTACACACACACACACATATATATGTTAGTTTGTGGGATTAACAGAACTCAAAAACCACTGCATGAATTGACATCAAATTTGGACACAAGACACCTAACAACCCAATGTATGTCCTTCACTCAAAAAAATGATTTTGTCACTTGGGAGTTGTAGTTCCTGGGATTTACAGTTCACCTACAATCAAAGAGCATTCTGAACCCCACCAATGACGGAATTGAACCAAACTTGGCACACAGTTCTCCCATGACCAACAGAAAATCCTGGAAGGGTTTGGTGGGCAGTGTCCTTTGGTTTTGGAGTTGTAGTTCACATACACACATACACATATACATACACACACACACACACACACACACACACACACACACACACACACTTTGTTTTCTGGCTTTGATTTCTGCATAGAGCAATGATATCATTTGTCTCTTCTTTCTTTTCATGTTGGAAGTTTTTATCAACCAGGAGGCAGCAAGCAATGTTTTGTACAGGTATAAAAGGCACAATTCTGGATTTCTGGAGGAGATCCGTCAAGGAAACCTTGAACGTGAATGTATCGAAGAAATTTGCGATTATGAAGAAGCGAGGGAAGTCTTTGAGGACGACAAGAAAACGGTGAGATGTCTCAAAACCTGCTTTCTTGAGAGTGTATCTACACTATAGACTTAATGTAGTTTGTAGTTTGAATCTCCAAACTACAAGAGAGGAGATTCCATCTGAACATGAGGAAGAACTTCCTGACTGTGAGAGCCGTTCAGCAGTGGAACTCTCTGCCCTGGAGTGTGGTTGAGGCTCCCTCTTTGGAAGCTTTTAAACAGAGGCTGGATGGCCATCTGTCAGGGGTGCTTTGAATGCATTATTCCTGCTTCTTGGCAGAATGGGGTTGGACTGGATGGCCCATGAGGTCTCTTCCAACTCTTTGATTCTGTGATTCTATGATGCCACTCTAACTGACTTGGCTCAATGCTATGGAATCCTGGGAGATGTAGTTTGGTGAGGCATCAGCATCTTTGACAGAGAAGGCAAAAGACATTTTAAAACTACTGCTTCCATATGCCCTAGCATTGAGCCAAGGCGATTAAAGTGCCGTCAAAGTGCATCAATGCTACAGCATATGGTCTATTATGGCTCTATCTATCTATCTATCTATCTATCTATCTATCTATCTATCTATCTTTCTATCATCTATCTCTCTATCTCTCTATCTCTCTATCTATCTATCTATCTATCTATCTATCTATCTATCTATCTATCTATCTTCCAAACTGGGACTGGGTAGTTGGTGAGGAATGATTACTTTTGCAGAGAAGGTTCAAGACCTTGCAAAGCTACAACTCCCAAGGTCCCATAGCATTGAGCCATGGCAGTTCAAGTGGTGTCAAGCTGCATTCATTTCCCAATATAGATGCACCCTTCTTTGCGAATCTGCAAATCCGCTCCAGGTTTTAATCTGAACTTAAAACAAACTATCAAAAGTACTGAGCTATCCAAATACTTCCAATGCCTTGGATAGGTTCCATTCTGTCTCCTATGCTCTTTAACATCTACATGAAACCGCTGGGAGAGCTCATCCGGAGTTTTGAAGTTGGGTGCCATCTCTACGCAGATGACACCCAACTCTACTACGCTTTTCCACCTAATTCCAAGGAAGCCCCTTGGGTATTGGATATCAGCCTGGCCGCTGTGGTTGTTTGGATGAAGAGGAACAAGTTGAGGATCCATCCTGACAAGACAGAGGTCCTCCTGGTCAATCATAAACCAGACCGGGGTATAGGGTGGCAACTTGTGCTGGATGGGGTTGCGCTCCCCCTGAAGTCACAGGTCCGCAGCTTGGGTGTCCTCCTGGACTCATCGCTTACACTTGAAGCTCAGGCGTTGGTGGTGGCTGGGTGGGCCTTTGCACAATTAAGACTCGTGCACCAGCTGCGACCGTACCTCGTGAAGTCAGATCTGGCCAGGGTGGTCCATGCCTTAGTCACCTCCAGATTGGATTACTGTAATGCTCTCTACGTGGGGCTGCCCTTGAAGACGTCTTGGAAATTCCAATTGGTACAATGGGCGGCAGCCAGGTTACTAACTGGGGTGACTTACAGGGAGTGGTCAACACCCCTGTTTAAGGAGCTCCATTGGCTGCCGTTCATTTTCCGGTCCCAATTCAAGGTGCAGGTTCTTACCTACAAAGCCCTGAACGGTTTGGGACCTGCCTACCTGAGTGACTGCATTTTTGGGTACGAACCCACACATTCTCTTCAATCATCTCACTTCTGCCTCCCTCGCAGGCACAATTGGTGGAGATGTGGGAGAGGGCCTTCTCTGTGGTGGCCCCCATCCCTGGAACTCACTTCCCAAGGGTATGAGGCAAGCCCCCACATTGGCAGTTTTTAGGAGAAGCCTGAAAACGTGGCTGTTCCAGTGTGCCTTCCCTGATTAGGAAACGATACCCAGAAAAATGTCCTCAGAAGCATCTTAACTATTAAGGAGCTCCATTGGCTGCCGTTCATTTTACGGTCCAAATTCAAGGTGCAGGTTCTTACCTACAAAGCCCTGAACAGTTTGGGACCCGCCTACCTGCGTGACAGCATTCCTGTGTACGAACCCACATGATCTCTTTGATCATCTGGAGAGGCCCTACTCTCACTCCCACCCCCCACACAGGCACGATTGATGGGGATGAGGGAGCGGGCCTTCTCGGTGGTGGCCCCCCATCTTTGGAACTTACTTCCCAAGGATATCAGGCAAGCCCCCACATTGGTAGTCTTTAGGAGGAGCCTGAAAACGTGGCTGTTCCAGTGTACCTTCCCAGAATAGGAAAAAAATTCCCAGCAAAATGTCCTCAGAAGCACCTTAACTATTCGTTGAATTGTGCTCCCTCATTTCTTTCAAAACCCTCTTACCAGATACATCCTACCTTTGGTCATGCCCAGCGTTTATTTTTTAATCCTAAACATTCGGCCCGGCCATAGGTTTTTAAATCTTTAAATAATAATAATAATAATAATAATAATAATAATAATAATAATAATAATAATAGTAATACTTTATTTGTACCCTGCTACCATCTCCCCAAGGGACTCGGAGCGGCTTACATGAGGCCGAGCCCAAACACAACAATAAAAGAAATAACAACAACAGTACAAGCAATTAAAAAACATAAACAATAAAATACACAATATTATCAATAAGACAACACACAATTAAAAACAATGGGAAGGCCAAATGTAGAGTTAAAATTGGAAATAATGCTGGGCCATGAACGAAAGGTGATACTGGTGTTTGTGGAAGGGCATACGAGCAGACCTAAAGATATGTAAAGTGCTTTGGAGGACAAAGTGCTATGGGATCATTATTCCGGGAAGGCACACTGGAACAGCCACGTCTTCAAGCTCCTCCTGAAGACTGCCAGAGTTGGGGCCTGTCTGATTTCTTTAGGGAGTGAGTTCCAGAGATGAGGGGCCACCACCGAAAAGGCCCTCTCTCTCGTCCCCACCAATCACGCCTGCGATGCTGGTGGGATAGAGAGCAGGGCCTCTCCGGATGATCGAAGGGATCGTGTGGGTTTGTATACAGAGATGCAGTCACACAGGTAGGTGGGTCCCAAACCGTTCAGGGCTTTGTAGGTAAGAACCTGCACCTTGAATTGGGTCCGGTAGATGAATGGCAGCCAGTGGAGCTCCTTGAACAGTAGGGATGACCTCTCCTTGTAAGGAGCCCCAGTTAACAACCTGGCTGCCGCCCGTTGGATCATCTGAAATTTCCGGGCCGTTTTCAAGGGCAGCCCCACGTAGAGTGCATTGCAGTAATCCAATCTAGAGATGACTAAAGCGTGGGCCACTTTGGCCAAATCCGCCTTCCTGAGGTATGGTCTCAGTTGGCGCACGAGTCTTAATTGTGCAAAGGCCCTCCCGGCCACCACCGACGCCTGAGCCTCAAACGTAAGTGAAGAATCCAGGAGGACTCCCAAACTGCGGACCTGTGACTTCAGAGGGAGTACAACCCCGTCAAGCACAGGTTGCCACCCTATAGCCCGGTCTGGTTTACGATCGACCAGGAGGACCTCTGTCTTTGTGTTTTATTGTTTATATGTGACTTATATTAATTGCATTGTTTTTTGTTTATTTATGTGTTGTTGGGCATGGCCCCATGTAAGCCGCTCCGAGTCCCTTGAGGAGATGGTGGCATAGTATAAACAAAGTTATTATTATTATTATTATTATTATTATTATTATTATTATTATTAAGTTTGGACTAAAACCCAGAGTGATCTACTATCCCAGTGAACTGGGAGCTCCTCCAGTGAACATATCCATCGCTTCTGTCCATTTATTTAACTTTAATTTTACCCTTTTCCTTTTAGGTCGAATTTTGGAAGGTATACAGAGGTACGTATGTTGTTTTCTTTTGAGAATGGATATCAAGCAGAAATCATTAGTGGTGCAAGGTTCAAATGGGAGCTCTCAGAAGGTCAGTTGCAACAACTTTGATGTCCAATGTACTTTGGTCTCTGAGCTGAATAAAGTTTGGATGCCACAGACGGAAACGCCAGGCACGTACACAGTGCTGCAAATGCAAAAACTGTTTGCTTGTATGTTTGACCTCCTACACCCCTCCCCTTGACCCCCAGCTCTGAGTTTACTTGAGTCCAGAATGACTAATAATAGTAATAGCACCAACAACAACATTAATATATTGTCGAAGGCATTCATGGCTGGAATCACTGGGTTGTTGGAGATTTTTTCAGGCTATATGGCCATGTTCTAGAGGCATTCTCTCCTGACGTTTCACCTGCATCTATGTCAAGCATCCTCAGAGGTAGTGAGGTCTGTTGGAACTAGGAAAATTGAGTTTATATATCTGTGGAATGACCAGGGTGGGGCAAAGAACTCTTGTCTGTTGGAGCTAGGTGTTAATGTTTCAACTGACCGCTTTGATTAGCATTTGATGGCCTGGCAGTGCCTAGGGCAATCTTTTGTTGAGAGGTGATTAGGCACTGCTGACTACTTCAACCAGAGAAGTCAGCCAAAGCAGAGCATCTGATGGAGCAACCTGGACACAGCATATTATTTGAGAACACAGAAATGCTGGACCACTCTCACAACCACCATGTCAGACTACATCATTTGGGGAAAGGGTTCTGGCCTGGTCCAAATGAGTGTTAATGATGCAATCCAGGTTTGAGTTAAGTCAATGAGTTGGGAACCAATCAGAGATTGCTATGTGTAAATGTACAGAATTGTATATAAGGAAGTCATGTACAGTGTATACTCTCTCTCCTTATGCTGTGATGCTGTTTGCCGAAGGCTCTGTGTAATTGATTAAAAGAACCTGTCTGCTAAGACAAGATATAACCGTGTGCTGTGGTAGGTTTGTAGTATCATCTAGATTGGGAGGAAAACAATGATAAAACTGACAGTAGCCAGGCATGTGCTCAAGTGTCTGTAAAGAGTTCCAGAGTGACTGCAGTCTGTGGAAGCAGTTGACTGAAAATACTGTGCAGGAAGAAGCTACTGGAAAGCACTGAAGTTGTGCAACTGATCTACTGCGGAATTGTGAGATAAAACACGTCAGATGGCCTGGCAATGCCTAAGGCAATCGTTTGTTGAGAGGTGATTAGGCACTGCAGACTACTTCAACCAGAGAAATCAGCCATAGCAGAGTACCTGATGAACCAGCCTGGACACAGCATATTATTTGAGAACACAGAAATGCTGGACCACTCTCACAACCATCATGTCAGACTACACAGAGGAGCCACTGAAATCCACAAGCATGTGGACAATTTCAACAGAAAGGAGGAAACCATGAAAACGAACAAAATCTCGCTACCAGTATTAAAAAACTCTAAAATTACAACAGCAAAACAACAGAGGGGAAACAAGGACATCTAATCACCTCTCAACAAAAGATTGCCCCAGGCATTGTTGAGTCTGGTTAGATGCCATAGGATTCTTTCCTACCTCTAAATCTCCAGGATTCCCTGCAGGTCTCTCATCCATCCAAGTATTAACCGCATCTGCCTCTGCTTTGCTTTTGACCAAACCAGTTCCATTCAGGATGACGTCCTGCTCTTTGAAAGCAAGTACCCAATGGGCTTTTCATTCCTGGTTCCAACTCTGCTCCAATCTTTCTTCCTTTCCAAGGCCACTATGCCAACCCATGTACATGGCATCTCTGCCTGAACGGAGGGCGGTGTCATGTTGAAAACAGTGACTACGTTTGTGCCTGCCGGGCTGGTTATGAAGGAAAGAACTGTGAGATAGGTATGTTGGTAGTGCAATAGCTTGCTCCTTGTTGCTGTTGTGTGCATTGGAGTCGTTTCCAACTGATGGCAACCCCAATTTGAACCTATCAAGGGTTTTTCTTGGCCTGATTCATTCAGAGATTTTGCCTTCCTCTGAGACTGAGAGAGTGTGACTTGCCCAAGGCCACCCAACGGATTACCATTGCTGAGTGAGGACTAAAAGCCCAGGTCTCCAATTTCATAGTACAAAATTGAAACCACGACAGCAACCTGACTCTTGGCTATTTATTTAGTCAAACCAGCCTATATCCAGCCAGAGCTCTTTTATTTTGAACTACAAATCCCAGACGTTTCCAACCACAATGAGCTAGACACTTCTGGGATTTGTAGTTCAAAGCAGAATCTCTCAATACTAAATACTTAAGAGCCAAGTTGTTGATTGCCTCTCTAGGCTCTCAAGGGGTGCATTGACACTGTAGAGCAGACATGAACAAACTTCGGCCCTCCATGTGTTTTGAGCTTAATAGTAATAATAATAAAACTTTATTTATACCCTGCTACCATCTCCCCGAAAGGACTCGAGGTGGCTTACATGAGGCCAAGGGGTGCATTGACACTGTAGAGCAGACATGGACAAACTTCGGCCCTCCATGTGTTTTGAGCTTAATAGTAATAATAATAAAATTTTATTTATACCCTGTGTGGCGAGGGAGAGAGACTATTTCCTCTTTTTAAAAAACCACTTTGCTGCCTTATTTTGGTTCAGTTTTTTCTTTTATATTGGCTGGGACTTCCCGTATGCTGTTAAACCTTTGTACTTTATATCACAGGCAATGAAACACTCTTGTGTATAACAAAGTAACACAGTTTATTTATAACTTCTGGCTCCAACGCTTGTGGTTACATTTGTGTTTTGTTGCAATCTTGAAGCTTACAGTTAGTATCATTTACTTGATTAACTTTTCTGAACAAACTATCAATGTTTCACATTCACAAACATGTTACTTGCTTTACACACTCTTGGCAGAATTATATTCTGAACTAAGGCAACACTAGCCTTCTTTATGTTCCTTAAAACTCGAGCTCTATTTAACTAACTGCTTCTGTATATCAGAAGTCTTTAACACATCTTCATAACTGCTTATTTCTATCAGGCACTCAAAAAACCAACTCTCCTCTTCACACACAGATTCCTAACTGTCATTTTTAAACTCCCTCACTCTAACTGCCTCTTTCAGAACCTTGGCTCCGCCCCTTTGGAATGTTCAGCTCTGCTCTCCCCAACTGTCATTTTGGCCTAGCAGCCTTTTCAAATCCTGGACCTACACTAATCTGCATATGACCAATCGGCTTCACATATGCAAAAGAATCCTATCTCTGCTGTTGCTACCCTGTCTGTGCCTATTCTTCCTTATCTGCCAAATGTAAACATAGAGCTATACACCAAAACTTTAACATAGAGTAGCAATTTCGCTACACCCTGCCACCATCTCCCCAAAGGGACTCAAGGTGACTTACATGAGGCCAAGAGGTGCATTGACACTGTAGAGCAGACATGGACAAACTTCGGCCCTCCATGTGTTTTGAGCTTAATAGTAATAATAATAAAACTTTATTTATACCCTGCCACCATCTCCCCAAAGGGACTCGGGGCGGCTTACATGAGGCCAAGCCCGTCAAATACAAATACAACAATATATCAACAAACAAGCAAGCAAGTAAAAAAATATAAATAATACAGTTGAACATATAAGCAATATCACACTAAAGATTTGAAAACATTATGGCCGGGCCAGATGTAGATTAAAATTTTAAAACCCTGGGCGTGTACAAAGTAGGGTATGTCTAGCTATGGGGTTTTTAAAGAGTGATATGGGGGGGGGATCAATCCAATGGATAGATAAAGTGCTTCAGAGGACATATAGAAGGAAAATGATCAGATCAGGCGTTATTTCCTTTATTCAGGGAAGGCACACTGGAACAGCCACATTTCAAGCTCCTCCTAAAGACTGCCAAAGTGGGAGCTTGTCTGATATCTTTAGGTAGAGAGTTCCAGAGTCGGGGGGTCACCATAGAGAAGACCCTCTCCCTCGTCCCCACCAATCGCGCCTGCGAAGGGGGTGGGAGCGAGAGGAGGGCCTCTCCAGATGAACGAAGAGATCGCATGAGTTTGTCAACAGAAATGCGGTCACGCAGGTAGGCGGGTTCCAAACCATTCAGGGCTTTGTAGGTAAGAACCTACACCTTGAATTGGGACAGGAACATGAACGGCAGCCAGTGGAGCTCCTTAAACAGGGGGTTGACCGCTCCCTGTAAGACACTCCAGTTAGTAGCCTGGCTGCCGCCCGTTGAACCAATTGAAATTTCTGAGTTGTCTTCAAGGGCAGCCCCAAGTAGAGTGCATTACAGTAATCCAATCTGGAGGAGACTAAGGCACGGACCACCATGGCCAGATCTGACTTCACGAGGTACGGTCGCAGCTGGCGCACGAGTCTTAATTGTGCGAAGGCCCTCCCAGCCACCATCAACACCTGAGCTTCAAGCGTTAGCGATGAGTCTAGGAGGACACCCAAGCTGCAGATCTGTGACTTCAGGGGGAGTGCAACCCCATCCAGCACAGGTTGCCACCCTATACCCAGATCCGGCTTACGATCAACCTGGAGGACCTCCAACTCCCACCATTCCTAAAAGCCTACTGGTTGTTAGGAATTTTGGGAGTCCAAAACACCTGGAGAGCCAAAGTTTGTCCATGCTTGCTGTAGAGTGAATGCAGTTTGGCATTGCTTGAACTCAACGGCTCAATGATATGGGATCCAGTGAGATGTAGTTTTACAAGTAATCTTCTCTGCTAAAGAGTGTGGGGGCCTCACCAACCACAAATCCCAGGGTGAGATTCCAAGAAAGGACTCTAAAACCCATCTGTCTGGCAGCAGAAGGCAAGCAGTCTGCAAATTGGGTTTGAAGCAGCCATGTTGGCTATGAGATTCTGGGGTTTGCGGTCTAAGAAGGAACAGAAGCATTTTAGAGTTTGGATTTTGAAACAAGGGATGCTGGACTTGTACTAAAATGTCACTTCAACTCCCACCAGATACTTCCTGCTCAACAAACAATGGGGGTTGCAAACAGATCTGCAAGAATGGACCAACGGGGAAAGCAACCTGCTCCTGTGCTCCTGGCTATAGATTGGAGGAAGATCAGAAGTCTTGTGAACCAACAGGTAAAAGAAGATCTTTATAGATATGCCATCGCGCCTGGGGGCTATAACTTTTAGTGAAAGAGACATAGACGTGACATCTTTCCCCCAGGGGATTGCTTCTTGCCTTCCTTTAAAGAACTGGAACTCCCAAAACACTGTAGATAACTCAAAATTGTCCACAAAGAGTTATCCCTTTAAGGCAATAAGCTGGAAGTTTCACAGGGGTAAAGGAAATATCATTACAGTCTCTGGCTATCTTGGGTCCAAGGAGATTTCGCAGCTGAGAAGCTTTTCAAGGTTCCCTCTTTCTCAATGGCTGCAAATGCCTGAACATTCACGGCCCCAATCCAAATGGCCTATATTTGAAGACACAAAGTCTTCCTCTGATGCCACAGGACTGGTGCTTGGGTCTCCTCAACATTGTCCAGGGTGATCTGGGCATGAAGTATAAGTCCCAAGGGTAAAAACCTTAGAATTGGTGATGAGAGGTAACTTAATTAAGGGCTTTAGAGCCAAGTCTCTTTCTCACGTCTATCTGATAGAAAGTTTGATGGTAGAGTGGAAAAGGAAAAGCTCTGCCCTCCTCCAGGAAGAGGTGGAGCCAAGCAATTGAACTGAGGAAGCAATATCATCATCATCATCATCATCATATTTAATTACTTATTAATCGCCCTCCATCCGAGAATGCTCTAGGCGATTTACAGCTAAATTGTAAAAGATAAAATACATACATACAGAAATTAAAAATCAACAGAGATCGAATGCTCTAGTAAAAAGCCAGGTCTTAAGTGCGAGAGTAAAAGGCCCTCAGTCACGCATGGCTCTCATGTAGGGCGGCAAGGAATCCCACAAGGCAGGGGCAGAAATAGAGAAAGCCCTGTGCCTGGTCCTTTCCAAGTGCACTTCTCTAGGACCTGGTATATAAAGTAAGTCACGTTGGGATGGTCGTTGCGACCTCCGATGATGGGAGAAGGAGAGGCGGTGCCTAAGGTATGATGGACCCTGGCCGTAAAGAGTTTTAAAGGTCAGAACTAGCATCTTATACAGGCCACGGTACTCAGTTGGAAGCCAATGTAGATATTGCAGCACTGGTGTTATATGGCATTTCATGGGCGTTCTTGTGAGTAACCTGGCTGCTGCATTTTGAACAATACGAAGCTTTCGGGTCGTAGATATAGGAAGGCCAACATACAGGGCGTTGCAATAGTCCAGCCTAGACGTGACCGTGGCATGGATGACAGTTGCCAGAGCCTCGTCAGATAGGTAGGGTGCCAGTTGCCTCGCTTGTCGTAGATGGAAAAAGGCCTGTTTGCTAGCAGCAGTGACCTGAGCTTCCATTGTCAGCTGTGAATCCAGGACAACACCTAAGCTCTTAACAGTGGTTGATGGAGATAGGGCGGCACCTTCGAAGGTGGGTCGCAGATGAGTCAGACCTGCTGGGTGGCCATGCCAGAGAATCTCAGTCTTTGCCAGGGTCACCTTCAGTCTGCTAGCAGGTAGCCAGTTCGACAGAGGTTCCAGACATAAGGTGAAATTGTTTGGAATTGACGTTGCTCCAGGTGCAGAAGGAGTTGGGTGTCGTCCGCATATTGGTAGCAGTCTAGGCCGAAACTCCGAGCCAAACTAGCAAGGGGTCTAACGTAGATGTTGAAGAGAAGAGGAGAGAGAATTGCACCTTGGGGGACCCCACATATAACTTGTGCAAACAACATTGATTGACAGCTATAAATAACCAATAATAAATAACCAATCAATCCAACTATACATTTACAAACTAGGCAAGTTTGGGCATGTTATATAGTTTAAACCTTTGCACTTTAAAGTTCTACACACAGGTGGCACCACTCGCGCTGTCACAATAGAAGTCAGAGGCGTGATTCTCCCATAGCTATCTTCTTCAGAGGAAGGAATTTACTCAGATTCGATCCTCTGTGGACCTGTAATAGACGTATTGCCACATCAGACTGGACTAAGGATGGAAAGCAGAGAGACAGAGCACGTCAAACACTGGAAATATGGTGACAGAAATAGTTAGGAATGATAAATGTCTGGCCGAGCTAAACCTTTTTATTAAAGCTGTCTATTTCTTGGCACCTTAATTGTGGGGCTTATTGATTTTAATTGCTCGCTTATTGGCCGAAGGTCCCTCATGGTTGTATCATTTGAAGTCAAAAAGATGGGGAGAAACAAAAAGCCTTCCTGAAGCCTTCCATCATTTTGACAGGAAGACAGCCCAAGAGGCAGAAGAATAATTGATCTTCCTTGTTCTTATTCATTTTTTATGCCCCTCCTGCCCAATCCAAATCATGTACAGAGGGTTTGTCCTATCATCTTGAGATGCTGATGGACCACTTTAGACTTAGCAGATAGGGATGTGCATTTGGAGTAAACCTTGACTCGTTTCATGTCCTGGCTTTTGGTGGGGACCCTGATTCATTATTTTTTGGGGAGCCTCTGGAAATCGAGAGGGCGCATTTTCTCTCCCGGGCCAGCATACCAAACAATTGAATAGAATCATAGTGTTAGAGACCCTAGATTGGGTCTTTTTAGGTCCACGTTGCGGGAACATGGAAGGATGGAGACAGTTCCAATGAAAGATAAAAAAAACAAGGTTTTTATTTTAGTTTCTTCATGAAGAAGACGAACAGCCTGATAGCATTACGCAGATGCTATCCTTCAAGTGGCTGCCGTGTTCCTTCCTTGAAATCTGCAAACTTTTATAGCCCATTATAAACAGAAAGCTCAGGGAAAACACCTTTTATGAATAATAATTCTGACCTTTTTGATGGAAAGTACCTTCCTTGTACACGTGGCCTCTACGCTTCAAAAACAACATTTGAAGTCAACCACAAACATCCTGTGTAAGAAGTACCTTCTAAATGTCACATCTTGTTTCTTAAAAAAAACACTTTCTTCCATATTGCTTTTTTTATGTCAGAGAAAGTGTATCTCTCTCTTTTGCTGATTTTGTTAGCTTTTCACCCAAAAGCCCCTTACTCAGAGACCCTTGAGGCCTCCTTCAATAGAATCATAGGTTCTGGCCCAGATTACCTGTCCGAACGTATCTCCTGCTATGAACCATCATGAAGCTTAAGATCATCTGTAGAGGTCCTGCTCTTGATCCCACCACTCTCACAAATGCGGTTGGTGGGGACAAGAGACTGGGCCTTCTCGGCAGTGGCCCCCCATCTGTGGAATTAAGAATATCAGGTTGGCCAACTCCCCCCCTGTCCTTTAGAAGACAACTGAAGACCTGGCTCTGGGGCCAGGCGTTCGATTAGAGGCCAGCGGCAATAGGAAAAGGAAATTTGGATTTTGCGACATGGATTCTCCCGCCTCGGCTTGGTTTTACGGGCACGTTAATCTATTAATTTATTGTTAAATTTTACTGATGATGTTGTACAATGTTTTAAAATGATTTTATTGTGAATTGTAATTTTTATGGTATTTATGCTGTTAGCATCCTCTGATGCTCATGTGAGGTCACGCGGAGTCCCCCTTGTAGGGAGTAGGGTGGGTTATAAATATATGAAATAAATTGATAGATAGATAGATAGATAGATAGATAGATAGTAGGCTTGGGTGGTTTCGTTCATTAATTTCGTAATTTGTTATTAATTCGTATTTAAATTAGCTTACGATCCAATATTGAGCCATGCAGGAATAGTGTGAGGAGTAAATTAGATTCGAAACAATTTTTTTCAATTTATTTCGTAATTATTTCATTATTATTTCGTAATCATTTTGAAATTATTTCGTTATTATTTCGTAATTAATTTCAAATTATTTCGTAATTATTTTCGCAAGTCTGGTGCAAGTTTTATAGTTGTTGTTTGTTTTATCACACCAACAGTCAACAACAGAGGGAGAGGGAAGCTTCAGAAGTTCCCCCTGTCCCATTTGGAGGTTTTTTTAGCATATTGCGCAATCGCGTCCGCCATTAACGAATCAATTCGTAATTATATGAAATTTCGTAAATTTCGAAATTTTTAAAAGGAAAATTTCGGAATTCTTTAAAAAAAACGAAACGCGATGGACCCCTAAAAACGAAACGAGTTTAGAAACAAATTTTTCCATTGTTACCCAAGCCAGATAGATAGATAGATAGATAGATAGATAGATAGATAGATAGATAGATAGATAGATAGAGTTGGAAGAGTGGGCTATCCAGTCCAACCCCATTCTGCCAAGAAGCAGGAAAATTGCATTCAAAGCACACCCGACAGATGGCCATCCAGCCTCTGTTTAAAAGCTTCCAAAGAAGGAGCCTCCACCAAACTCCAGGGCAGAGAGTTTCACTGCTGAACGGCTCTCACAGTCAGGAAGTTCTTTCTCATGTTCAGATGGAATCTCCTTTTTTGTAGTTTGAAGCCATTGTTCTGCGTCCTAGTCTCCAGGGCAGGAGAAACAAGTTCGCTCCTCCCTGTGAGTGCCTCTCTGTGAGTGCTATCATGTCTCCTCCCTGTGAGTGCTATCATGTCTCCTCTCTGCCTTCTCTTCTTCAGGCTAAACATGCCCAGCTCTTTAAGCTGCTCCTCAAAGGGCTTGTGCTCCAGATCCTTGATCATTTTAGTCGCCCTCTTCTGGATACATTCCAGCTTGTCAATATCTCTCTTCAATTGTGGTGCCCAGACGCACGCACTCTCTTATCAAGGCATTTAAAGGAGGCAAGCAAGTTCTTCAAGCTGTTTCTGACTCTAGAGTAGATGCACGGACGCCAACAGTCACACACTCTTTCCATTCCAAGGCATTTAAAGGAGGCAAGCAAATTCGCAAAGCTGTTTTTTTATGCTAGAGTAGATGCACGCATGCCAGGAGGCCCACACTCTTTCCATGCTCTTCTCCACACTTGCATGTTGTGGACTCCACTTTGAAGCCCTATTTCTTAAGGTTAGCTCTGCATCTTGTGGTGCCAGATCACTGCTTGTTCAGTGCCTTCCAAGTTGCCCAGTCTTCGGTGTGCCCAGGAGGGTGTTTCCCATCCAGTATCAGCCACTCATTGAGGTTCCAGGTTTTTATCTGCCACTCTTGGACTCTTGCTTGCTGAGGTGTTCCTGTGAGTATCTCTATAGATCTTGGGAAGCTGTTTCTTGATTTAAGTTGTTGGCATGCTGGCTGACATCTGAACAGAGGATGGGCCAGAGATATCACTGCTTTGGTCGTTTCATTGCTGGCTGCTACTTTCCTGCGGATATCAGGTTGTACAATACTGGCTAAACAAAAACATTTCTCTAGTGGTGTTGGTTGTAGACATCCTGTGATAATGCGGCATATCTTAGTAAGAGTCACACCCACTGTTTTAATTGGTGAGATGTTTTCTGTGCTTGGCATGCATATTCAGCAATAGAGTACCAAAGCAGATGCCTTCACTGTATCTGATTGTGATCCCCAGGTTGTGCTAGTCAGCTTTTGTATGATTTTTTTCTAGCACCCACTTTTGCTTGATAGTCAAACAGTGCTTCTTGTAGGTCAGAGCACGGTCCATAGTTTTTTTTGTTTTGTTTTTGTTTTTTGTCATGTCAGGAGCGACTTGAGAAACTGCAAGTCACTTCTGGTGTGAGAGAATTGGCCGTCTGCAAGGACGTTGCCCAGGGGACGCCCGGATGATTTGATGTTTTTATCCTCCTTGTGGGAGGCTTCTCTCATGTCCCTGCATGAGGAGCTGGAGTTGATAGGGGGAGCTCATCCGCCTCTCCCCGGATTCGAACCTGCGACCTATCGGTCTTCAGTCCTGCCGGCACAGGGGTTTAACCCACTGCACCACTGGGGGCTCCACGGTCCATAGTGACTCCCAGGTATTTGGGTGTGCTGCAATGCTCCAGTGGGATTCCTTCTCACATAATCCTCAGAGCTCAAAATTCTTGTCTGTTCTTAAAGTGAAAAGCACATGTCTGCATTTTAGATGGATTAGGAATCAGCTGGTTTTCCTTGTAATAGGCAGTAAGAGCACCTAAGGCTTCAGAGAGCTTCTATTCGAGTTCTTGCAAGTTTTTCATGATTCTGTCCAATTTATCTCCCCACTCTGCTCTCTCTGCCATCATGAAAACTTACTTCCACTTCTTCCTCAGCCAGTCTGTTTTGTTATTTCTGAGATTTATAGCTCGTCACACCACAACCTCTTTAGCTTCTCTTTCAGTCCGGATCCAGGTTGAGGAAAGATTTATAGTCTCGTTGGGCTTTTTAAAGCTTTTATTCTTTTGCAATTGGGGAGTGAGGTTTGAGCGTGTCTGCTCTAGCTGATGCATCCCACAGCAATTCCAGAGAGCTTCTGTTCAACCATGTTAAAGCTCCCTGCTTGGGCGGTGATGGCATGATCGTCAGCATAGATGAATCTCTCTGTCCCTTCTGGCAGTGTCAGATCATTTGTGTAAATATCAAACATGGATGGAGAAAGCTCGCTCCCAGAGGCAGGCTGTTCTTCTGTTTTCGCCATCTGCTTCTCTGACCCTGGAACTCAACAAAAAAGCTCCTGTTTTGTAGTAGACTTCCTATGAAGCAGGTGAAGTGGTAATCCTTTGTGAGATTATACATTTTTCTCAGGAGGAGGTGATGATTTCCAGTATCATAAGCCGCTGACAGTTCTATGAAGACAGTGCCTGTATTCTGCTGTCTTTCAAAACCATCTTAATAATAATAATAATAATAATAATAATAATAATAATAATAGTAATAATAATAATAATAATTTATTTATATCCTACCCAAGGGGACTCGGGATGGCTAACATGAAGCCGAGCCCAATAGTTACAATGAAGCAAAACAAATGCAGCATACAATCATAAGAAAATACATGAAATAAATGGGCCTATTTTTCCATAAATCTGTGCAGGATAAGCGTATGCATGTTCATCATTTATCCACAGTGCCTTTCCCATGTGGAAAGATCACCGCTCCAGAGGTAACAGGGCATACGTCCTCCCAGGCATCATCAAATGCAACTGCTGCCCACAAGGAACCGTTGGACAACATGACTCAGATGGTTCTCCCACCATCCAGACCCAAGAGGGAAGTTGCCAACATGAACAGCCTGAAAGGCGAAGTTCCGTGGCAGGTAGCTACAATTACATTACAATACAACCCACTATATCTATCTGTAGGGATTGCATTCCTGAACTCACTATGGAAATGGCCCTTTGATCCAATCCAGTAGGATTTTTCTTATGACATCCTGTTCCCAAGTTCCTTTCCCCAAGTCTCCTTCCATGGTTTGTGTTCTTCCTGGTGCATCTCCAATGTCATGGGATCTTGGAATATGAAGTTTGGTGAGACACCAGTTCTCTTTGGTGGACAGCACCTTGTAAACAAGAGCTGCTAGGACTCATAGCAATTAGCCATGGCAGTTAAAGTGGTAATAAGGTAAAGGTAAAGATTGTCCCCTGACATGAGGTCCAGTCGTGTCCAACTCTGGGGTGTGGTGCTCATCTCCATTTCTAAGCCGAAGAGCTGGTGTTGTCCATAGACACCTCCAAGGTCATGTGGCCGGCATGACTGCATAGAGCACCCTTACCTTACTATTGATCTACTCACATTCACATGTTTTCGAACTGCTAGGTTGGCAGAAGCTGGGGCTGACAGCGGAAGCTCACACCGCTCCCCGGAATCGAATCTGCAACCTTTCAGTCAACAAGCTCAGTAGCTCAGCACTTTAAGCCATGGTACTTGCAGGAACACCTCAGTGGTAATAAAGTGCATTAATTCTGCAGTGTAGATACATCCTAAAATTTTGGCTCCCAGAATTCTTCAGAGTTTTACTGCAAGGCCCTTCTCTCTTTTGAAATTGCTAACCTTTGCTTAAGGGTCATTACTCGGTAATACTATAACTATAGCAGTGTGATGTTTGAAATCTTAATTTCAAGAATTCCTTTGTATTGTCAAAGGCTTTCATGGCCGGAATCACTGGGTTGTTGTAGTTTTTTCGGGCTATATGGCCATGGTCTAGAGGCATTCTCTCCTGACGTTTCGCCTGCATCTATGGCAAGCATCCTCAGAGGTAGTGAGGTCTGTTGGAACTAGGAAAAAGTGTTTATATATCTGTGGAATGACCAGGGTGGGACAAAGGACTCTTGTCTGCTGGAGCTAGGTGTGAATGTTTCAACTGACCACCTTGATTAGCATTTAATGGCTTGGAAGTGCCTGGGGGGAATCTTTTGTTGAGAGTGATTTGATGTGCCTGATTGTTTACTCTCTGTTTGATGTTGTAATTTTAGAGTTTTTTAATACTGGTAGCCAGATTTTCTTCATTTCATGGTTTCCTCCTTTGTTTGGTAGCCCAATAGTCAAACCAGCACTGATTTAAATACAGTTTAAACTTTGCTGCCCTCTGGAGGTAGCTCATATCAAAAGCAACATTGGCATTTAGAAAAGGTAAAGGTTTTCCCGTGCCATTAAGTCCAGCCGTGTCCGACTCTGGGGTGTGGTGCTCATCTCCATTTCTAAGCCGAAGAGCCGGGTAGAAACCAAAAAAACAAAAAAAAACAAAAAAAAAAAAAAAAAAAAAAAAAAGAAGAAAAAAAAAAAAAAAAACAAAAAAAAAAACATTGTCTGTAGACATCTCCAAGGTCATGTGGCCGGCATGACTGCATGGAGCGCCGTTACCTTCCCGCCGGAGCGGTACCTATTGATCTACTCACATTTGCATGTTTTCAAACTGCTAGGTTGGCAGAAGCTGGGGCTGACAGCAGAAGCTCACGCCACTCCCCGGAATCGAACCACTTTAACCCACTGCACTACCGGGGATAAAAAGAAAATGTGCCAATTTTCTGGTCCTCTGTGAGAAAGGAAGCCCAGTTGGTTATTATTGCTACTGTTACTGTTACTGTTATTCTTATTGTCACTGTTATTGTTACTGTTAATCTTAGTCTTATTGACATTGTTATTGTTATTTTTATGGATTTATTTATTTATTTGCAAAAAGAAATCCATTGTTGACTCAGTCGTTGAACAGTAGATTAACTTGCTGATAGATCCAATTGATTCCATGACTTTAAACAAGATTTAGATCCTAGTTTTATAACTTGATAACTATTTGAATTTTGGACTATGATTGGAGATGAGGAGCCTCCAGTGGTGCAATGGGTTAAACCTTTGTGCTGGTAGAACTGAAGACCAACAGGTCGGAGGTTCGAATCTGGGGAGAGCATGGAGGAGCTCCCTCTGTCAGCTCCAGCTCCCCATGCGATGACATGAGAAGCCTCCCACAAGGATGGTAAAACATCAAAATATCCAAGTGTCCAATGACCTTGCAGACGGTCAATTCTCTCACACCAGAAGCTGAAGCCGATAGGAGCTTTAGGAGTGTCTTCCCCAGGAGGAAGGACCCTAAGACCCCACCAAGGAGGGTTTGCTACTTTGGCAAGCTAGAGAAGCCTGATTTCAGCAATTTTATTTGGATTAAAAATTCAGAATAAAGCTCACCAAAGCTGAACAAAAGGCACTGAGGTGTTTTTATTAGCGATTCAGCTGAAAAGGATGCGATGTAGCAATCATTCGCCTACAAAGCATACCAGTACAGAGATCAGGGGCATTTTTATAGGAATTTCCAGGTTTGAAAGTTCAAAATTCCCGCCCTTTACCCTCCTCCTGGCTCTCAGATGATTGGCTGACGCGATTCCAGCTGAGAGAAGGCACACCCGCCCGCCCGCCCTGCGTCAGGGCCAATCACGGAGCTCCTCCTCTGCGCGGGAGCCAATGGAAAGACTCCCCCCATCTCAGCGCCCTGGCGAATCAGAAAAAAGGAGGCAGGACGGAGCGGGAACAATGGGCTGGTGAAGGGATCAATGGGTTTGATGTCCAGGGGCCCAAAATCCAGTCTATGATGGATGGCCAGTCTATTGTCCTTGAGTGGATTTGTGATGAGCCTTGGTCACCTTATCCGAGTCTTCCTGTCTCAATCAGATAAGGCACAAAGGAGAGGCTTGGGAGGAATGTCTAGTTTGAATGAAGTAAGCAAAATTGGTTAGGCGACCTCCTGAGGGTCGTCTCGCTCCTATTGTGAAATGATCGAAAAGTTGGCAAAAGGAAATTCCAGTCGGATGGCTCCACTTTGAAACCAAATAGGAATTCCAAGTCTTATTATTCATGTCAGAGTTCCAATGATATGGGTTTCCTTTGTGGTCGTTGATTGCCTTTCCAACAGCTGGCCGCCTCCTTGATGGGCCCCCCTCACGAGGAAGGGGCGAGGGATTGGGTGCCAAAAAGGAAAATACATGGGGAAATATAGGAATCCAGAAGAAATTCATACCAAAACATCCCTTCCCACCCCCTGCCCAATAGGGAAATTTATTAAAATAATAAATTTAATAAAACATGTGTTTATAGTTCATATTGGGGAAGTTCAGATGTGAAAATGAGTTCCGTTGAGCCAAAAGGAAATTGAGGAAAGTCCAAAAAGTCATGGAAAGGTGCTTGATTATCTTCACTAAGCCAAAGAATGGATTTCTGCAATGCCAGGATCGAGTTGGTCTTTTGGTGCTTGGGAAACTATAACCCCCTCCAAGGACTGGGGCCCCAAGGTCAGGCTCTTCCCGGGAAGCCTCATGGGGTCCTTGTTGTTGCTAGTGTCTTGGCAAATTCACCAAAACTTAACCTCTTTGTGCAGTCTGGTACCCTTGCCCTTTGCAGAACTATAAGTTACCATCCCTTATTTGGGGGGGGGGGGGCTGCTCAACTTCATTGTGACTTGCAGTTTCTCAAGTCATTCCTGACACAGAAAAAAATACCCTGGAGATTGGAGTTCGAATCCCCATTTTGCTTTGGAAACCCACTGGATGACCTTGGACAAACTCTCAGCTGCAGAAAATAGAGTCACTTTGGGGTCACTTTAAGTAGGAAACCCTTTGAAGACAAAAACAATATTTTTCTCTGCTTATAGGTGTCCATGTACAGCTTTGAGCGGAAAGGGTTCTGCGGAGGGACTATCATCGCCGAAAAGTGGGTCGTCACCGCAGCGCATTGTTTGGCACAGCAGCCACATACCATCGTGGCAGGTAAGCAACAGAGAAGCTGAAATGTGGAAACTGCCTTTCCCGCCAACGTAATGTTTTTCCTTATAGCAGGAATGGCAAAAAAAAAAAAAAAAAGTAGCTCCGGGGTTCCTTTGGCCCAGTGAAGACACGTTGACATATTAGCATGAATCTGAATAAGGATATGAAATTTCTTGGAATATTTCCAATAGGGTTGTTCTTTTGGAGTAAACCTTGACCTGTTTTGTGTGCCAACTTTCAGTGGAGGCTCCTGATCTGTTTTGGGAGCCTCATTTTAGGCATTAAAGTTGTTTTACTCTATAGGAGAGGTGCTCAGCTGCAGACAGGCCTGCACGCCACACATACACTCTCTTTCTCTTGCCAAGGTAAGGAGGCAACAGACAAGTTCTCATTCATACTCTAGAGGAGGCACTCTGGCATGCACACTTTCTGGGCCTTCACAGCACACATGAACTCTATTTCCAAGGCAAGGAGTCAACAAGCAAGTTCTCATTCTTCCTCTAGAGGAGATGCTCGGCTGCAGGCAGGTGCACATGCTTTCTGGGTCTTCACACCACACACACACACACACACACACACACACACTATTTCCAAGGTAAGGAGGCAACAGGCAAGTTCTCATTCATACTCTAGAGGAGGCACTCTGGCATGCATGCTTTCTGGGCCTTCACGCCACACACACACACTATTTCCAAGGCAAGGAGGCAACAGGCAAGTTCTCATTCTTATTCTAGAGGAGGTACTCTGGCATGCACACTTTCTGGGCCTTCACAGCACACATGAACTCTATTTCCAAGGCAAGGAGTCAACAAGCAAGTTCTCATTCTTCCTCTAGAGGAGATGCTCGGCTGCAGGCAGGTGCACATGCTTTCTGGGTCTTCACACCACACACACACACACACACACACACTATTTCCAAGGTAAGGAGGCAACAGGCAAGTTCTCATTCATACTCTAGAGGAGGCACTCTGGCATGCATGCTTTCTGGGCCTTCACGCCACACACACACACTATTTCCAAGGCAAGCAGGCAACAGGCAAGTTCTCATTCTTACTCTAGAGGAGGCACTCTGGCATGCATGCTTTCTGGGCCTTCACAGCACACATGAACTCTATTTCTAAGGCAAGGAGTCAACAAGCAAGTTCTCATTCTTCCTCTAGAGGAGATGCTCGGCTGCAGGCAGGCGCACATGCTTTCTAGGTCTTCACCACACACACACACACACAATATTTCCAAGGCAAGGAGGCAACAGGAAAGTTCTCATTCTTACTCTAGAGGAGGCACTCGGCTGCAGGCAGGTGGGCACACTTTCTGGGCCTTCACACCTCACACACACACTATTTCCTAGGCAAGGAGGCAACAGGCATGTTCTCATTCTTACTCTAGAGGAGGCACTCTGGCATGCACACTTTCTGGGCCTTCATGCCACACACACACTCTATTTCCAAGGCAAGGAGGCAACAAGCAAGCTCTCATTCTTATTCTAGAGGAGGCACTCGGCTGCAGGCAGGTGCACACACTTTCTGGGCCTTCATGGCACACACGCACTCTATTTCCAAGACAAGGAGTCAACAAGCAAGTTCTCATTCTTACTCTAGAGGAGGTGCTCAGCTGCAGGCAGGAGCACATGCTTTCTGGGTCTTCACGCCACACACGCACTGTTTCCAAGGCAAGGAGGTGTCAGTGTTAGTGTTAGTAGCTCACATAATGACTTAGCCCTTTTTAACTCTAAATGTGATAAAAAAACGTATAAAAACACATGAGTCTTTCACTTTAAGTAGAAATAAAATGAAGTTCTATTCACTGCATACAAAACAAGACATAAAAACTATAAAAAAAATATCTTTGGTGAGTCTTCTTCAAACAACGGTGATATGCAGACATGTAACAGAATAATATACAGTCCTTCTTATTTAGTTGTCCGTAGATTGACCGTGTCTTGCCGTAAACAAGCTTTATCTTCAGGATGCCGCAGAACTGCTCCTGGCAAAAAACAAAGGCTTTTCCAGCTCAAAACGAGCCCTCAAGCAAAGCTTAGAACATAATGCTCAAAGTTTCCAACACTTAGTTACCTTACTATATAAAGAAACTAATATCATACGCAATTAACCCATAACAGCTGCAACAGTAAAAACCCTGATGCTTTCTAAGACTTAGAAAAAGCCCGTTGCAAACCCCTAGTAGCAACAGGAGGCAACAGGCAAGTTCTCATTTTTACTCTAGAGGAGGTACTCAGCTGCAGGCAAGCGTGCACACATTCTGGGCCTTCATGCCACACATACACTCTATTTCCAAGGCAAGGAGGCAACAAGCAAGCTCTCATTCTTACTCTAGAGGAGGTGCTCAGTTGCAGGCAGGCACGCACACACACACTCTTTCCAAGACAAGGAAGCACATGCTCACAAAAAGCAGACAATGAAATGGGATCAACTCCTGCTTGCTTCCGTGTCAAGCTGATTTTTGTACCAGGAGGGGCCTTCCCAGTATGTGCTCCCGAAGTTAATATTTATATTTATCGTGTCAGGAGCAAACCAAACAGTTGTATTGCATTTTTAAACAAACAGACAGACAGACAGACAGACAGAACACAAAGTTTGCAAGCTTGGTAGTTGATTAAATGTCCTTTGACCAGTATCTGGCCACTTGGAGTGCTTCCGGTGTTGCCGCAAGGAGGTCCTCCATTGTGCATGTGGCAGGGCTCAGGTTGCATTGCAGCAGACGATCTGTAGTTTGCTCCTCTCCACATTCGCATATCGAGGATTCCACTTTGTAGCCCCATTTCTTAAGGTGGGCTCTGCACCTCGTGGTGCCAGAGCGCAGTCTGTTCAGTGCCTTCCAAGTCGCCCAGTTTTCTGTGTGCCCAGGGGGGAGTCTCTCATTTGGTATCAGCCATTGATTGAGGTTCTGGGTTTGAGCCTGCCACTTTTGGACTCTCGCTTGCTGAGGTGTCTATGTGCCCAGGGGGGAGTCTCTCATTCGGTATCAGCCATTGATTGAGGTTCTGGGTTTGAGCCTGCCACTTTTGGACTCTCGCTTGCTGAGGTGTTAATAAAAGTAATGAAAGAATGAAATGAAGGAAAACGGATCTGCACACACCTCTAATTTCCAATGCCTCTTTTGCCAGGTGAATATAACGTAGACGTTTTCGAACACACAGAACAACTACGTCGCATCGATAGGATGATCCCGCATCCTGCATACAATGCCAGCAACAAATACCAGCACGATATTGCCCTCCTGGAGCTGGATTCGCCACTGAAATGGAGCTCTTATATCACCCCAATTTGCCTGGCAGACAAACGATTCACTGACCGCCTCCTGGAACATGGACCCGGCACTGTGAGCGGCTGGTGGAAGCTGGCAGACCAGCGGAGGTTACCAAGCATCCTCCAAATTCTGCAAGTTGACCAAGCTATGTGTCCGAACAGCACTCAGCATAGTATCGTGCCAAACACTTTCTGTGGCAAAAGTCCCGACAATACTAGGAAGATCCACCAAGGAGATAGTGGTGGACCTTACACCACAGACATTAAAGGCACCCGGTTTCTAACAGCCATAACTGCCTGTGGGGAGCCGTGCGCCGGAGAAGACAAATACAGCGTTTACACCAGAGTAGGGGACTACCTTCAGTGGATCAGAAATGAGACAGGGCTTCCCTAGTTGGGAAGTCAAAACCAAAAACACAGTCTTCCATCTTTCAAGAGCATGCTTGAAAGATGGAAGACTGGAGGAAGGGAGAGGGGGAATACAACCCTCCTATTTTCTTTCCAGAAATGGTTTCACAGAATTGATATAAATAAAAATGTAATGTTCATTTGTGGGATTAACATAACTCAAAACCACTGGACGAAATGACACCAAATTTGGACACAATATACCTCTCAGGCTAATGAATGACCATCGATATATATAAAAATAATGAGTAGCTTAAAAACAAAAGAACCAATGGACGAAATCACACCAAATTTGACAACAAAATGTCTCACAACACAAGGAGTGACCATCACTCAAAAAATTATGATTTTGTCATTTGGGAGTTGTAATTGCTGGGATTTATAGTTCACCTACAATCAAAGAGCATTCTGAACTCCACCAAGGATGGAATTGAACCAAATTTGGCACACAGGACTCCCCTGACCAACAGAAAACACTAGAAGGGTTCGGTGGGCGTTGACCTTGAGTTTTGGAGTTATAGTTTACCTATATCCAGAGAGCACTGTGGACTCAAACAATGATGGATCTGGACCAAACTTGGCACAAATACTCCATATGCCCAAATATGAACACAGATGGAGTTTGGGGGAAATAGATCTTGACACTTGGGAGTTGTAGTCACTGGTATTCACAGTTCACCTACAATCAAAGAGCATTCTGAACTCCACCAATGATGGAATTGAACCAAACTTGGCACACAAGACTCCCATGCCCAACACTAGAAGGGTTTGATGGGCATTGACCTTGAGTTTCGGAGTTGTTGTCCACCTACACCCAGAGAGCACTGTGGACTCAAACAATGTTGGATCTGGTCCAAACTTGGCACAAGCACTCAATACTCAGTCCAACTCCCTTCACCAGGGCAAGAAAACATAATCAAAGCCCTCCTGACAAAGAGCCATCCAGCCATAGATATAGATAGATAGATATTATTCACACACACAAAGATATAGTATCATAGATTTCAAAGGGACCCTTTAAGAAGGACAATGATATGTTGCATGTTCCAGGGTGGGCAAACCAGACACTCTCCACATCTTTATTTTTCAGACCAACAGACTGGGCCACAGCAGCGCGTGGCCGGGGACAGCTAGTCACTCATAAAACACTGAAAAACACAGCGGAAGGGACTTCAAAAGTCGAGAAAGCAAAAAAATGCTACAGCGCATGCGCAAAAATTACTCCCGGGCCAAAATAAAACCTACACACAATAGCATATCCACACTTTCTTCTGGACTACAGCTCCCAGTATCCCCTAGACCAAGCCGTTTAGGAGAGAAGGATGGTCCAAATGTACTGCTTCCCAGATGCAAGCTTTCTTCTCCTTTGATTTCTTTGAGAGCATCCCAATCCCTGTATATTTCCAATATCCTATTCCTGGACTGCAACTCCCAGTAATCCTCAAGATAGATAGATTAGATAGAGATAGATAGGTAGAAGGACTGCTGGGAGGAAGAAAGGGGAGAAAGAGGAAGGGAAAGAAAAGGGGGGAGGAAGGGAAGAGAAGGAAAGAAGGAGAGAAGGAAAGAAAAAAGGGAAAGAAGGAGGGAAGGAAGGAAAGAAAGAAAGAAAGAAAGAAAGAAAGAGGGAGGGAGAGAGGGAGGGAAGGTTGGCCACAGCAACGCGTGGTGGGTACAGCTAGTTATTATTATTATTATTATTATTATTATTATTATTATTATTATTTAATTCCTCTATAAAATAAAGAGGGGGATGGAAGAGAAGGAAAAAAGGTGAGAAGGAAAGAAAAAAAGGGGGAGGAAGAAAAGAAAGAAGGAGAGAAAGAGTGAGGGAAGGTTGGCCACAGCAAGGCAAGGTGGGTACAGTTAGTTGTTGTTGTTGTTGT